GCATTTGTTGCAAAAAAAAATATATTTTTCAAAAATAAAACTGTACCGGTTCCGCCCGGTAGACTGTCTATATTATTGTTGTTGAAAATTTATGGTTTCCTTGGCAGAAAACTGTACCGGTTCCGCCCGGTAGATTGTCTATATTATTGTTGTTGGAAATTTATAGTTTCCTTGGCAGAAAACCGTACCGGTTCCACCCGGTGGATTGTTGGTTTCATTCTTATGACAGCATTTGTTGCAAAAAAATATATTAAAAAAAAAACTGTACCGGTTCCGCGCGGTAGACTGTCTATATTATTGTTGTTGAAAATTTATGGTTTCCTTGGCAGAAAACCGTTCCGGTTACACCCGGTAGACTGTCTATATTATTGTTGTTGAAAATTCATGGTTTCCTGGGCAGAAAATCGTACCGGTTTCACCCGGTAGACTATTGGTTTCATTCTTATGACAGCATTTGTTGCAAAAAAAAATATATTTTTTAAAAATAAAACTTTACCGGTTCCGCCCGGTAGACTGTCTATATTATTGTTGTTGAAAATTTATGGTTTCCTTGGCAGAAAACCGTACCGGTTCCACCCGGTAGACTGTCTATATTATTGTTGTTGAAAATTTATGGTTTCCTTGGCAGAAAACCGTTCCGGTTACACCCGGTAGACTGTCTATATTATTGTTGTTGAAAATTTATGGTTTCCTGGGCAGAAAACCGTACCGGTTTCACCCGGTAGACTGTGGCTTTCATTCTTATGAAAGCATTTGATGCAAAAAAAAATTTTTTTTAAATAAAATCGTACCGGTTTTGCCCGATGGACTGCCTATATTATTGTTGTTGAAATTTTTTAGAAAAAATAATGTTTCCGCAGCAGAAAATTGTACCGGTTTCACCCGGTAGACTGTCTATATTATTGTTGTTGGAAATTTATAGTTTCCTTGGCAGAAAACCGTACCGGTTCCACCCAGTAGATTGTTGGTTTCATTCTTATGACAGCATTTGTTGCAAAAAATATATATTTTTCAAAAATAAAACTGTACCGGTTTCGCCCGGTAGACTGTCTATATTATTGTTGTTGAAAATTTATGGTTTCCTTGGCAGAAAACTGTACCGGTTTCGCCTGGTAGACTGCCTAGATTATTGTTGTCAAAGATTGTTGAAAAAATAATATTCCCTCGGGAAAAAGTACCGGTTCCACCCGGTAGACTGTATGTATAAATGTTGTCAAAAATTTGTTGAAAATCTATTATTTTCAATGAAAAAAATTGTAGCGGTTCTCGCCCGATAAACTCTTGCTACTGTTGCAAAACATTTCTTTTTAATGAAAATTGTTCTGATTGCGTCCAATAGCCACGGAATATTATTGTTGTAATGAATTTACTCTTCGATCAATATTTCCCGTGAAAAAAAAAAATACCGGGCGCTCCCGGTAGCATTCTCATCGCGTCGTGATTTTCGAAGCCTTCAAAACGAAGAAAATCTTTGATTTCAATATTCTTTTAATATTGCATCCGCCATCTGCAGGAACAAGGCGATACTATATTTCGGTCCGATCGTTAGATGGCACCTCTTCTTACTTCAGCATTCCCCCTCCCTCTTTTACGGTTTGGGATTTTGGCCCTTTGGGATTTTGTCCCCCATCCGCAGAACCCAACCCGCTTGGGACTCTAACATACGTACTTTCCTAATCCATGGAGTGGTCCATTTATTGCTAAATCTACGGAAGCAAATATAGCTTCGGAATCGAGATATGCGGTAGTCGTATCGGCCAAGAAAAGTTTTGACTCCAAAACATCAGGCCGAGCGCACCGCGTATCTGTACCCGACTTCGCTGTCCTCTCCACTGCCTCTCAATGATCTACATTTAATATTATGAGAACGGGAAGACAAATCGAAAAACTGTGCTTAGTTACACTATATAAATCGCCCATGAACTTTTCACGGGCGCGATTCACGTTATAAAATGTGAGATTTTGTTTTCGACGTTGGCAGCGCTGATCCAACTGGGCTCCACATTCGACGTTAAGGTGTTGCCACCAGTGCCTTTAAATGTGGGTTGTGATGTGGCTAATTACGGGAAACACTTCTTGTACTTAAAATCATTTATTAAAGTGAACCAAAAAACTCTGTGTTTCATTCATTGTTTCTTTCGCCGGAAATTCGAATTCTTCTCGTCATATCTTTATCTAGACCTCAAAGATAGAGATAGTTTGTGAGGTTATGGTTGTAACGAGATTTTCTCGTTACTGTAAACTGTTTTACCAACACGAAAACCCATGAGACAAGAATGGTTAGAGTGAGGGACAGAGAAGAGAGCGACATCTAACGCCAGCTGAAGAAGCTGAGCGAGAGATGAGAGTGACATCGAACGGCGGTTTAAGTGAACCACGCGTGNGTTTAAGTGAACTGCGCGTGAGGTGAATAGACCAATCAAATAATGCCAAGAGGCGTGGTTTGGGTGAAACCATGCTTCTGAACATTATAGAGAGGCTGTCGATACCCTGTCGCCTTATCTAGAAACTCGCCCAGTTGTGTTTGGGGGAAATGGGCCAACGTACTGGCATTCCAACTGGGCGATTCTAGAGGCGCTATCGACTTAGACTAGGGACCAACGGCTAGGTGAGAGGACTAGCGCCCCCTCGATTGCCGTCGAGCTGATTGGTGGTGGTGGGGTAACGGATGACCCACCGTCGCTGAGATGTTCAGACTAGGGGGAGAAGGCTCTAGTAGATTTCGAGACAATCGGTGACAGGCACTGGAGTCGAGCGGATGAAAATCGTCCGGTCGTGGACGACGGTCGTAAGTGGCATTAATCCGTTATGAATTATGGGGGTCCGTTGTGAGGACAAGATCCGGAACAGCGAGAGAATGGGACGCTTCGGCGTCCTAAACAGAATGATCGGATTATTTTGAGGATGTGGGGGGTTTTAATTCCATGTTCTCAGGGATCCATCACTTCGGACGAAAGAAGTGGTGTTGGCGTGGATCCGTGGGCCGGGAAGGGAGGCTCGATCGCACGTGCCTCCACGACGAGTAGTCTGGGTGTTGGCCCGCGATGATAGTGCTTTTGCCGAGCATTGAGGTTGAGTTGGGGTGGGCACAGGTGGGTGAGAATAAGTCTCCGGATACCTGTGTCACATGTGCTTCTCAGTATTCGGCGCTTCGAGGAGTGAGAAGGATTCGCAGGTAATGGTCGACTTCTCCAGAATTGAGCCACTCTGGAGAGAAAAGGAATACGTCAGAGGAATGGAAACATCCTTGGCGAAAGATACATGGAGGAATGGCTCCTGGAAGATATGCTTTATCGAGGTCTCTCGGCTGAAAAGACGAAGATCGATCGAGTGAATTACTCCTAGTATGGTGAACCTCGCCCACTCTACCGTTTTACGCTGATGCTGGCTCGGCATTGTTAGTCCCGCCACGAGAAGTCCTCAGGGTAGACGAGTTATCCTCTGAGGCCGGTTTACCGTTGGATTTTCCGTGGAAATCCAGCTGGCGCCCGATATAATAGAGCGATAGAGAAAATGCCAAAATGGTTTGGGATGTTTGCTAGTGAAGCGCCGGCGAAAATTACATGGTTCATGTTCAGAATCTGAGAAGTTCTATGCGTCGAAAATTGTGTGATCAAGAATTAAGTGTCCGTGGATAGCTGAAATTGAAAACAAAATATGTATTTTTTCCGAATGATATCAGAAAATGTTTTTAATTGTATGGAAAAAATGCTTTAAATTAGGTTACGGTGAGATGCAAAGGACATGAAAACGTCTTTGTTAGTATTTCGAAAAAATTAGTACTATCTTCCAAAAAAAACAGGAACAGATGTTTTTATGAAAACTTTTCATGAAACAAATGAATAAATAAAAATAAATATTTTGTTTGGCTGTTTCTGAAAGGACATCAATCTATGTCTCAAAATGATATAATCACCGTAGAAACTCAAAGAACAAATTGAATGGAAGAAACTAATTAAATCAGGAAATCTTGAATGCATAATTAAAAGTCGGTGGAAATAATGAATCTGGAGTGAAACTGTTCGTCCTGCTTCGATTATTAATTGGAAAGATGTTCTATCTTGTGAAAAATAAATTAGTTGGATTGAATTAAAAAGAATAAATTTTACAGAATATAAAAACAATTCCTTACATATTTTGAAAAAAATAAAGAAATCGGCCTAAAAAAACAGAAATAACTGTTTTTGTAAAAAAAACTGCGCCAAGAAAAAGTTTTGTTAGGTTCTTACGTGGAAGTAGAAATTTTTTAAAAATATAATGAAATGAAAAAGAAAGTCAAGTCAGGACTGTCGAATGACTGATAATAGAACACACTCAAATTTCTATGAAAAAATAGTTTTAAATTGAATAAGGGTTTGAAAAAAAAATCTCTATGAAATAAAAGATAGAAGGAGGACCAATTTTCTTGGCGCGGATTTTCTCCACTCACTGTTTGGTATCAATCTAATCCTCCATCTTCTAATCCGCGCCAAGCACATTGGTCCTCCTTCGATCATTTATTTCATAGAGAATTTTTTTCAAACCTTTATTCAATTTAAAACAATTTTTTTCATAGAAATTTGAGTGTGTTCTATGACCAGTCATTTGATAGTTCTGACTCGGCTTTCTTTTTCATTTCTTTATATTTAAAAAAAAATAGTACTTTCACGTGAGAACCAAACAAAACTTTATCTTGGCCCAGTTTTTTACAAAAATAACACTATACTTCACAGTCAATTGATCCATCGTTAATTGACCAATAAAATCTCTCCTGAACCAACCCTTAATAACATATGGCTGGAAGGAGTTGTTCAATAATGGTAAACAGAAATGGTTCGATAAATAATGACGAGGGATTTTAGATCGTTAAGTTACCCTTCTTTCTCGCCCAAAATATTTCTCATGAATGAGATCTGTTGATATTTCTTATATTTTTCCCTTAATGTCACTCATTATTGAGATAGTTCCAGAAAATGTAATTCTCATTTGCACAAGGGATTACTAAATTTATTTGATTTTAGGTATGCAGGACAAGTGGGCTGTGTGGTCTGTAACATGAGGTCTTCAGGCGATGCACATATTGGCGACACGATTCATCTGAAAAATGTGCCGGTAAAGCCTTTAACAGGGTTCAACCCAGTCAAAGCAATAGTCTTTGCTGGAATTTACCCCATGGATCAGTCTCAGCATCTGTCGTTGAGAAATGCCATCGAACGGCTCGTTCTAAATGACAGCGCCGTCAGTCTGTCGATAGAGACGAGGTAAATATGAAAAAAATTAAAAATTGAAAAGATTGATGAAAAATTTGTAAACTGTCCAATTTAAAATTGTACAAACATCCCTTGAGTTTTGAAGAATCAAACTTGCAGTGAATTTTGAATGAATGTTAATACGAATAGACAAATTTTGATTGAGTATCTGCTGAATCGTCAGTCTGGTATTATGAATAATAATGAGATCGAAGGCGCGCTCTGCACACCTGGCAATATGGATGATTTTATATGATTCATCACGTTATTATTGTAAGTTGATTCGAACCAACATGTTAATTCATGTATACAAATTTCCGTGGTTTTACGAAGGACAAATCCGCGGCAAATTATGGAAACCTGATTGAAAGGGGATGGAAATTTCCATCAAGAATCAATCCCAGATACGTGAAAAGCTATGGAAACTGCTACTAAAAGTCCTTGAAAAATTGGTCGAAATCCATGAAAACTTCAGTTGAGGATCAACACATGTTCTGTTGGAAATGATGTTGGTATCGAAGATAAAAATAATAATTCGATGTTGCTTTATGCGGGCGTCTTCGATGGGAAACCATGAATATCTCGGATATGAAATCCAATCAAATGGGTTCCTTTTGTACAGACATATAGATATATATATACCATTTAGTCAAACATACAACTCTTTGTACACCTTGTTCTCAGAATTCCTTAGGCGATCCATAGATCACCGAGAACTTCGAATTAAGCGCGAGTCAGACAAAGATCCAGAGCCTTGAATTTAATCAATAATTGACAACCAGGATATCGTGTTAGTCATCGTCCGGTAATCGTTTCACATTGAGGAGAAATTGTGTTGATGAGAATTGATGGTTATTTTGAGGTAGTGTTTGTGTTGGGAGATTGATAGAGTCAACTATATGGGACCTAGAGATTTTCGTCGTTTGAGCCAAAATATCCATTTACGCGGTTATTGATGACAATTCTACCTTTCGCTTCATCTGCGAGGAAACGTGGTGATTCAGCTGAAATGCTAGCGCTTAGTGTACAGATTTATTGGGCTGAGGCTGATTCGTTTTTGGGTTCCGGTGGAAGGTCATACGGTCAATCGTGATGATTGCAACTGCGTGCATTGCCAAGGTCGCTATGAGTTTTAGGAAATAAATTTTTGTCTTGTCGTGCATTATATGTTCCGTCAAGTTATAGCTTGCGGTGTACCTTGCGTCTCTCCGGTAATTCTTGAGAAAGCGACCCCGAACACGTAATGATAATTAGTTGATTTTACATGGGTTTATTACCACCCTTTCACTCCATTTAATTTTTTTGTCATTCGGGCAATTCGAATTGAGTTACGCGCTTGTGACTATTAGGTTGACGTATTCCTTTAGCAGCTTCTTCACGCGTAGCAGCGTCGTCATGGCATGAATGTAACGCCCTTGTTCTATCTTTGACGTTAGATGCTCGCTCTTTTTTCACTTTTGGCGTATAAATTGAGAGATTTTGGCGTGTTCGGAGACTCCATGACCTTCGGACAGAGTGCCTTTGGGCGATGCCCTTCTGGGGAGAATTTCGCGTCTAACTAGCAGGGATGGCCATCAATGGCTTTCGATTCTTCAATATTAAAAGAATTTCCTACTTACATTTATCGAGGTTTAGATATACTAATCGAAATTTTAAAATCCTGCAATAATTGATAATAAAAATTTCCATTAATGGTGGATTAAATATTTAATAATATATACCTTGAAATTTTCTGTTATGTTAATAATACTAAATTTCTCATAAGGGTTTCCAATTATTCAAATAATCGTCAATCTTCCTAACTAAATTACTGATTAATCAATAATTCGGAATTTGAATGTTTTAATTGATGATTACTTCAATAGTTGAAATTTAACGGTCATATTAACTAATTCACTACTTGATAATTTAACGGCAATTATGAGTTATAAATATGGTTATCTCTGTTAACAAGAAGTTAAAATGAGATTTTTAATTTCGATTCGCGTATTGCCTGGCTTGCAGGGTTCGGGAGTAATCATTACTTTTGTAATATTTTAAGCTCTAATTATAATTACACCGTCAAATTTTTAATTGAGATTCTTCATTTTTTGATTACTTTATTATGCTGTAATTGAAATTGGAAATTCACTGATAACCAAGTAATCGTCAATTGCAATAAAACGAATTACCATTGATTTAGGTAACCAATAATTCGAAACCCAAAAATTTTCTCTACTTCATCAATAATCAATATGAATTAGCATATTATTCACATTTTCCATTATTCATTAATGACGGTGAGAGATTCATCAATCACTAAATAATGAGAAATTGTGAATGAGAATTGTTCAATTTTTTATTATTCATCAATTTGAATGAGGAATTTATCGATTATTACGACTATCTTCCATTGAATTAATATCAAACGATTATTCAATTATCTTTTCATTCGAAGATGGAAATATTCATTTACAGAATTATTCGTCAATCGTGTTTGAAAGAATTCGATTACTCAATCAATTGCTCACCGAATGATTATTCCAAAAGTTCCTTTTATTGATTATCGATTTATTTTGTAGTTAGATGTTACAATTATTTATTTCTAAATTTTAGAAAAAAATCGATCAAAATTAATCAAACCGATGATTAATTTTATACCAAAATACACTTCATTTTAGGAAAATATTTTCTGAAACCTTGAAATTTTTTTTTATTTTTGAGGGGGGATTATGCAAAGAGGACTCTTCATATAAGGAAAGATTATTCATGGGGATTGTGATATCCGGGCAGGTCTCACAGTCGAGGGGATTTTATTGAATGATGGTTTTATCAATGGGTAGAGGGTTTTACATAAGGGGGTCTAGGTGCGGGGCATGAAAAGGGTGGATATATATCAGGGGTCATATATATTATTTACTGGAAAAATGGGGGGGAGAGGGGAGCATTGTGTATACAAAATTTGTAGTGCGCAGCATGGCGGGGGGGGGGNGGGGGGGGGGGGGGGGGGGGGGGGGGGGGGGGTTATTGAGAAATAACAACCCAAAAATTGAGTCGTTGAGTTTTTCAAAAATATCTCCTAAACTAAGAGAGATAGCGAATTTTTACTGAAAATTTAGGGGAAGGGAGAAGGGTTGTGTTTTAAGAATCCAAAACCAAAAAAATAGAGTCGGTGAGTTTCTCAAAGATATCTCCGAAACTAAGGGAGATAGTGAATTTTGACTGGAAAATTGGGGGGGGCAAGGGGGTTTGAGAATGCACAATGAAAAGATGAACAAAGAAACCGTCTCGAGTATCCCTCACTGATTTCTATGAGCTTGAAATATGTTATTTCCCATCAAAATTTAAGGTATACGTTTTTTTTTCTGCGGATAAAGACTTTTAGGGGGGGGGAAACCAACCTCCGAAGTTGACAGGTTTTCAGGACCATTTGACTGTTTCATATAATGGCATTCAAAATTTTAGAACGAAACCGACTGCATGATAATCTATAAAAAAATGATAAAAAATGGCGTTTGTTGCATTTGAATAGGGTCAATTCCAAAAAAATGATAGGGGTTCAAATCCAAAAAAATCTTGTGAAAAAAAAATAACGCTCGTATTTCAATAGTATGAATGGCTATCAAACGAGCAAGTAAAAGTAGGAAATACGGGTTTTTACATTTTTTCGAAAGAATAGGTGTAGGGGGTAAACCACCCTCGAATTTAACTCAACCCATTACCAGTTGAATATTGGATTTCTTTTCGAACGAAGACAATTTCCAATGTGTGTGGTGTTCGGTCCATGAATCCACCAATAATAGACTTTTCGCTCCAATATTAGGGACAAAAACATAGTGCAACCAAGTTTTGAAATGTTCTGAAAAAAATAATGGAACAGATGAACGTTATCGTTGGAGCGACCTCATCATTACGGATAAATAAGAAACGAAGTATTAGACGAATTAACACAGTCTCATACCTGAAGTCAGTTTCCCAGATTTGGATACATCTGGGTATATATTATCCGGAAGAAACAGTTTTTCCTCTACTCTGGGACCGAAATGACCGCTTGGTTCTTGCAAATCTATAAAGAGTGGAGAGAGGAGTTTCCCTTTGGCTGATATAGTTGGTTGAATAGTATAACTATGTGTCGTCGATGCATTTCAAACTGAAATCCGCTTTGATCAGAAATATATATATTTGATAAACTGTACACTGCAATCCATTGTTTCACATCCTGAAGAAACTGTTCCGATTTTTCCTTTAGAACTTGACGGTCTTTGATTACTTTCGATGTAACATTTGTTCATTTTCCTCGAGATAATACGATGTGCTTTTTTAAATGCTCGTATCCACTTGTCGGAAGCTTTAAAGCGAAAATCCTCACTACCTATATCTTTTTGGACTTATAAGGCCCATCGTCGTAGGTCACAATCGTGTACGATCATTCCAGCGTTGACAGCATAGATTTTGTAAGGTGTATTTACAAATCCGACCAAGTTCATCTTTATAGCCTCCCCCCTTATTAACGTTATATGCCCAGCATCTCAACTGCCATATTGAAGTTACTTTTCAAAATTTCCAGCTTGACAGATACTAAGCTTAAATTTTTTTTCTTTTTACCACTCCGCCAATATGCAACAGCTCTAGATTTGTAATCGTAAGATAAATTCTCCTCATCTTTAGTACAAATATCAGGGTCTATCGGCGGTTCATGAAGGTGATCTGCGTATTCTTTATCTTCGACTATCTCCATGTTCCAGTCTTTGTAAGGTTCCTCAAAGTTTAACGAAACTTCCACCGTCACTTGGACCCCAGAATACTCATTTATTGCATGTGATAAAACTTCCTCAGTGCTATTTTTCAATTCGATTTCTTCATTATTTATAGGTGATTACGGAATATTCATCGCTTTGTTACGTCATGATTTCATAGACTTACCCTTGATAAATCCTGAAATATGAGTATTGAATTCACCTAGTTTAGCCTATCCGTTAAGATAATAGCTGGGAATGGTGAGTGCTTTAGGTAATCCAGAAATAAAAAGAAAG